ACCATGACGTCTTCATCCATTGCCATACTATGAAATTTTCTGATGGTTTTATGCTTTATTATACCTTGTAATTTTTTCAATTTTTTTGCCATACTATACTATGGTGTTTTTATTGCTTCTAGGGCGATATTATACCATGACGTCTTCATCCATTGCCATACTATGAAATTTTCTGATGGTTTTATGCTTTATTATACCTTGTAATTTTTTCAATTTTTTTGCCATACTATACTATGGTGTTTTTATTGCTTCTAGGGCGATATTATACCATGACGTCTTCATCCATTGCCATACTATGAAATTTTCTGATGGTTTTATGCTTTATTATACCTTGTAATTTTTTCAATTTTTTTGCCATACTATACTATGGTGTTTTTATTGCTTCTAGGGCGATATTATACCATGACGTCTTCATCCATTGCCATACTATGAAATTTTCTGATGGTTTTATGCTTTATTATACCTTGTAATTTTTTCAATTTTTTTGCCATACTATACTATGGTGTTTTTATTGCTTCTAGGGCGATATTATACCATGACGTCTTCATCCATTGCCATACTATGAAATTTTCTGATGGTTTTATGCTTTATTATACCTTGTAATTTTTTCAATTTTTTTGCCATACTATACTATGGTGTTTTTATTGCTTCTAGGGCGATATTATACCATGACGTCTTCATCCATTGCCATACTATGAAATTTTCTGATGGTTTTATGCTTTATTATACCTTGTAATTTTTTCAATTTTTTTGCCATACTATACTATGGTGTTTTTATTGCTTCTAGGGCGATATTATACCATGACGTCTTCATCCATTGCCATACTATGAAATTTTCTGATGGTTTTATGCTTTATTATACCTTGTAATTTTTTCAATTTTTTTGCCATACTATACTATGGTGTTTTTATTGCTTCTAGGGCGATATTATACCATGACGTCTTCATCCATTGCCATACTATGAAATTTTCTGATGGTTTTATGCTTTATTATACCTTGTAATTTTTTCAATTTTTTTGCCATACTATACTATGGTGTTTTTATTGCTTCTAGGGCGATATTATACCATGACGTCTTCATCCATTGCCATACTATGAAATTTTCTGATGGTTTTATGCTTTATTATACCTTGTAATTTTTTCAATTTTTTTGCCATACTATACTATGGTGTTTTTATTGCTTCTAGGGCGATATTATACCATGACGTCTTCATCCATTGCCATACTATGAAATTTTCTGATGGTTTTATGCTTTATTATACCTTGTAATTTTTTCAATTTTTTTGCCATACTATACTATGGTGTTTTTATTGCTTTTAGGGCGATATTATACCATGACGTCTTCATACATTGCCATACTATGAAATTTTCTGATGGTTTTATGCTTTATTATACTTTGTAATTTTTTCATGTTTTTTGCCATACTATACTATGTAGTTTTTTTACGTTTTTTGCCATACTATACTATGTCGTTTTTATTGCTTTTAGGGCCTTATTATACCATGACGTCTTCATACCTTGCCATACTATGAAATTTTCTGATGGTTTTATGCTTTATTATACTTTGTCATTTTTTCAATTTTTTTGCCATACTATACTATGTCGTTTTTTCACATTTTTTGCCATACTATACTATGGTGTTTTTATTGCTTCTAGGGCCATATTATACCATGACGTCGTCATACTTTGCCATACTATGAGGTTTTCTGACGGTTTTATGCTTCACTATACTTTGTCAATTTTTCAATTTTTTTGCCATACTATACTATGTCGTTTTTATACGTTTTTTGCCATACTATACTATGGCATTTTTATTGCTTTTAGGGCCTTATTATACCATGACGTCTTCATACCTTGCCATACTATGACATTTTCAGATGGTTTTATGCTTTATTATACTATGTCGTTTTTTCATGTTTTTTGCCATACTATACTATGTCGTTTTTTCACGTTTTTTGCCATACTATACTATGGCATTTTTATTGCTTTTAGGGCCTTATTATACCATGACGTCTACATACTTTGCCATACTATGACATTTTCTGATGATTTTATGCTTTATTCTACTTTGTAATTTTTTCAATTTTTTTGCCATACTATACTATGTCGTTTTTTCACGGTTTTGCCGTACTATACTATGTCCTTTTTTTTTGCTTTTAGGGCCTTACTACACTATGACAACCTCATATTTTACTACACTATGCGGTTTTTTTCAATTTTGACGCTTTTGACAATTTTATGCCTTAATATTCTATGACGTTTTTTTCCATATTATACTATGACGTTTTTATCCATACTATACTATTACGTTTTTTTGACAATTTTATGCCATGCTATACTATTACGTTTTACATTATATGCCTTTGACGTTATATGACTTACTATTCTATGACTTTTTATGCCTTAGGATACCATGACCAATGACATATACATAACATACATATGCATCTGTATATGAAGAGTCATTTTACCATATGTGTCACCTATGAGAGGATATATCATAATAACAAATATACATACTCCGGATATTTGAAGATAATTTATAACATTTACGAAATACTCATAGTAAATCGCAACTTTTGTAAAACAACATTCTACATGTTTGTATATTATTTTCTCAAAAATTTCTTATTAGAATCAAAATCAGAATTAAATTTATTTGTCACTACCATAATATACACTTCAACATACATGGAAGTGAAATACAATATATTATAACAATAGAAATCAGGGTGCAGTTCACATTTAAAAACAACAAAAGACACGTAATACACAGGACACAAAACAAGTGTGGCATAAAAAAATAAAAAAAACATGAAAAGAGAGCAGCATTAAGTTAAGTGGACACCTAGAGTGCTGGTGCATGTTATGTGCATGTCACATGGTCACATGGTGTTGGGGGCAGGGATGGGGGGCAGCATTTTCAGGGAGTTCATAGTTCTCATGGCTTGTGGATAAAAGCTATTGCATAGTCTTATGGACCTTGCACGGATGCTCTGGAGCCTCCTTCCAGATGGCAAGAGTGCAAAGAGGTGTTGGGAGTGGTGGTAGGGGTCAGACAGTTTGTCAGTGGCCTTCCTGTGTAGATGTTTGGCACTGAGGGGAGAGAAGACACCTGAGATCTTCTCTTCCACTCACATTATTCTTTGCAGGGACTTCAGTTCCTGTACCAGATGGTGATGCTGTGTGTCAGGATGCTTTCGATGGTTCAGTGTTCATGATGGATGAGGGGGAATTTGCTTTTTTTGTGTGTTGCAGGAAGTAGAGGCACTGCTGGGCTTTTTTGGTGAGGGCTGTGGTGTTGATTGACCAGGTCAGGTCATCAGCGATGTGCACCCCAAGAACTTAGTACTGCTGACTTTTTCTACAACAGTGCCGTTGATGGTCAGTGGGGCGTGCACGCTGCGATCTTTCCTGAAGTCGACTACCATCTCCTCTGTCTTCTCCACATTCGAGGAGAGGTTGTTGTTGCTGTAACACTGCTGTACCAAATAAGAAACCAAAACAAAACAAAGGCAAAATAAATCAAATTTTGCATTACATAATAAATTTCAAAAATTATTTGATTTCCCAAAAAAAGACGACAAAAAACCCAACAAAATAAAATTTTCTTGACACAATCACAACCAGCCTTCTACATCAATAAACCTTTCCCATCTTTCTGTGTTTGTTAAAATCATCCTTAGTTTTTGCAATATATCCTTCAAAAATAACTTTTAATAAACATTCTAAATTGATTAATATTCAAGGAAGCCACATCACCAGCATTGAAAATAAATGTTTACCAAACAAAATAATCAAATTAATAACAATTATTTTTCTGTGTAACATCACTTAACATAACTGAGAAGAAGTCCAGTGGAAAACACAGCTTCATTGCATTGCACATCTTTTGAACTTCCCTCCAAAAGGCTGACAAATGACATTACCAAAACAAATATACTGCTGACTCCGATTCAGTAAAACAAAAACAACACTCATCTGTCTCACCAATACCCCAAATCTTAATCATTTTCTTTGTGGGCAAAAAATTGCTAGTTATTTTTAATAGAAAGAATCTCATAACTGTGTCTACTATTGTTTTATATATTAACTTTACTAGGACAGTATAGGACAGTCAAAAGTATCCTCTGATTTTTTTATAGGTGCTATATGGAGTAATAGATGTGGAGGTTAAATGAAATTTATAGATATTTTGATTTACCTTGTTTCCTATTATCCATATTTCTTATAGACGGATGGCATACTAACAACTTAGTTTTCCCATTGTTAATCTTTTGCTTCCAGTATTTTCCTAAAGCAGAAATCACCTGGTTACTGTATATGAATGAGAGGAACATATCTTTCCATACACTTCAATAAACTGGGTATCCCATCTTGCCACACAATGTCATTTATAAACCAAACACCATGATCAAAAATATTTTTCCAAAATATTGATTTCCCTTCAATTAATATTTTTGAATTTTATCATATTATTTGCTGTAGAATGTCATCTCGAGTTTCTGGAGGATGATATTGAAAGCACAGCCAGCACCGAATGGTTACATTGGATGGACACTGGATACATTATCAATCAAATTATTCACGCAATGTATATGAGTTGGTTGAATCTGTTATCTGGTATAATCTGCTTAGAAACAATAGATGAGTGCTCTCCAGTAACCTGCACAAATAGCAATCTTCATTTAAGTATAATTTTTTAACAAAAACTTTCAAGACAATAATATAAAGCCTCCAGATTTAATAGTTTTAACCCACCATGCTCATAATTATTATGAAAAACTCTTCTTATTGGGGTATTCGCCCAGGGCACCATACAAGGTAGAACCGCCACTGGCTGAGTCAATACAATCTTTGCTTCATGCAGAGAACAAGTGTTTTTTACTAAATATGTTACCTGTAATACTGTTAATCTCTAAAGTGATAATGTGGAAAGCACAGGGATGTCATAGTTGGATTGTAGTTAACTAAAGATGTCACTATTTTTATTTGTTTAAGGTTCGGAGGAGTCACCTGAGCCCTTGCCCATACCTACAGTGTTACTGGGCTATGACCGGGAGAGGGATTTCTTGGCGTTGTCTCCTTTGGCGTTACCTTTCTGGGAGAAGTTGTTACTGGAGCCTTATGGGGGGCAGCGGGATGTGGCCTATGTGGTACTGTGCCCTAATAGCCCCTCTCTGCTGGCTGCAGCCCGGGCCTTCTTCCAGGAGCTCAGTGCTGTTTATGAGGTAGGACATTGGATTGTGATTCAGAAGAACAGTACATTGTTACATTTCAACACATATTTGAATGAAGATGGTGAATATTTAATGTGCAATAATAAATGTTTCTAATGAGAGACTGAACAGTTGCCCTGACTGACTCCATTTCCAGACGTGCCGCCTTGGGAAGCACCGTCCTCTGGCCAAGGTGTCCAGGGATGGCCTTGTGCGTGTAGGTGAAGATGTGGAGCCAGAAAAGCTGGAAGAGCTTGATGTGGACCAATGGATGACTGGACCATGGGCTGGACAGCAGCACGCCGACAACCTCAGCAAACTTAAACTGTATGCTTATGCCTGCAAACAACAGCTAGGTGAGAATATCTAATCTAATCTAATCTAATCTAATCTAATCTAATCTAGTTTAATCTAATCTAAGATTCCATTTTTCCTTCCTTCAGGTCCCCAGCTGTCAGCCCTGCCTCTGGACAGCAGTCTTCTGCTTCCTCCCAAAGCCCAGGCCCCTGCAAACAACACATCCTCAGCTCAGCCTGCCTCCTCTGGGCAGACTCAAGCCTGGGCTCCTGATGGAGAACAAGCTCAAGGTACTGTCAGTTCAGCAAACGCTCCAACCCCGACTGGAGCGACCTCAGGCCAGACCGGGGACACAACTCAAGGAGGGACCAGTGAATCAAAGGGGACCTCTAGTGCCACGCCACCAGCTAATACACCAGCAGAAAACCCTGAACTGTAAGACCTGATTATTGGGAGAAGTGATCTAATTTCAAATGTTGTTCTACACATTCGAACCAGTACAACTTATTTCTTCTCCTGCTCTCTTTCAGGACTGCAGAGCAGTCTAGAATTGGCATCCCCACTGTAGGTGACTCAATGGACAGCCATGCCAACCCACCAGCTATTGTTATTTACATAGTGGATGCTTTTCTTAGCTCAAGTGCAGCGAGAAGTGAAGGGGGAGAGGAAGAAGAGGGTGACGAGATAGAGGCAGGTAGCATTTGGCTACTTGGGCTTCTTCGCTGCTACACAGAGATGCTACAGACTTTGCCTGAGATGATGAGACCTGCACTGGTGCTACAGGTACAAAGATACTTTAATTCACACTAGGTAGGATTAAACAGAATTCACTCTCGCTTTTGTGATCATCATCCTGTTTTCTTTCCTTCTGTTGTCTCTATCTTACATAGGTGGTGTCATGCCAGTATCTTCTCCAGCCAGCCAGTGGTGAGAGCCATTTGTACCTGCAGCACCTGCGCTCCATGGCCTTCTCTTGCTACTCCCAGTGCAGGCGTCTGTTGCCCCAGCAAACACACATTAAGTCCCTGACTGGCTTTGGACCAGTGTCGACTGTCAATTCTGTACTAAAGGGTCCAGAGGTGAAAAAAAATTATGTAACTGTAACTTGTAAATTATGGTAATTACTCATGCCTTTGTTAATTTACTTTTTTAACTCTTCAAATCTTAATTTCCTTCTCCAGCATCCAAGCCCACTGCAGATGTATTGTCCCCCGTTCATTCTTGGTCCGACCCGTCCCAAGCAGCCAGAACCAGGAGAGATATGGGCAGAGCTCCCTCCCAAATACAATGTGCTGTATGTAGGATACTGCTTATCACACGACCAGCGCTGGATCCTGGTATCCTGCACTGATCAGCAGGGGGAGCTCCTGGAGACCTGTATTATCAACATTGATGTACCCAACAGGTGAGAAATGGTTGTTTATCACCTGACTTCTGTGCAGAGTTGTCCTTTTTAACTTTCCTACTTTTGTTGTTTCATGGCAAGACATTTTAATTCTCAGAACTCTCCATGTATTTCATTGTTTGTTCACTTCAGAGCGCGACGACCCAAAGTTTCAGCCAGGAAGATGGGACTACAGAAGCTGTGGGAGTGGTGCATTGGCATCATCCAGATGACCTCACTGCCATGGAGGATTGTGATTGGTCGATTAGGCAGACTGGGGCATGGGGAGCTAAAAGGTGAGTGACATCAGTTGAGAAGAAACCAGAGTCGTCTTGTATTAGTTTATAACCACTGTGATCACTTTGTTTCCCCAAGTGCTACACTGTGGAGTATAAATCAGTGAAAGCCAGAAGCCTCCACACTTGTGTGGATATTATGTCTCTCATTTCCCTCATTTGGAAACATCTGTACATACAGTATGTGGTTTGGCTTTTGCATAAGTCAGTCCATCTTTTTTCTCCTCAAGGGATGCTGGGATTCCTGTAGTTTGAAAAAAAGCGTTTGGAGGCTTATCACCCTCCTGTTAGACAAAGCCCTGGCCAGTTCCCTGATATTCACTTGAAGTACATATAGTCCTGGGTATACACAAGAGTAACACATATTAAATACATACTTGTAGCAAAACTTCTTTTAAATTGTTATAAACTTGTTTGAACATTTGGTAAAGAATTTTATCAACAGATCAGATGAACTAGGGAATGATTCACTTAAAGACTTTTCATCTCTCACCCCCTCTCCCTCTAAATGTCTCTGCTTTTATCTCTCTCTCTCTCACACACACATGATCCCCCCCACCCTCTGACTCAACTAGACTGGAGCTCGCTCCTTGGGGAGCATTCCCTCCATTCAATAGGGTGCCAGCTGAGGGAGGCTTGTCGTATGTGTGGGATCTCAGCTGCTGACTCTCCCACGATCCTGAGCGCCTGCCTGGTAGCCATGGAGCCACAGGGCTCCTTTGTGATCATGCCTGGTAAGTATCACGTCCACTTTGTTCGTCATAAATGATGGTTATGCCAGCGGTGGTGTTTATGGTTATAATTATGCTGATATAGTATAGGATATTACAATATACCAGAATTACAGTGAGTAACAGTAGTGTAAATAGACTCCTCACCTGTGCTGTGTTTCTGTACGTGTGTGTCCAGATGCAGTGACCATGGGCTCAGTGTTTGGACGCAGCACTGCTCTGAACCTGCAGACCTCGCAGCTGAACACGCCTCAGGATGCTTCCTGTACACACATCTTAGTCTTCCCTACTTCTGCCACCACACAGCTGGCACCCAGCTCCTACCCTACAGAGGACAATAATGGTAAAGAACAGCAGGATAACAGTCACACTGTAGTTACAAGATTACTCGAGATCCTTGTTTCAAAAAATGGTTTAGATGTACTCTTTTTGTACCAGCAGGGGGCATCTTTGTGCCAAAATATCTCTCCCAACATCACAGTCCCATCACATCACAAATGGCTTGTGAAAAAACTGATGAAGTTCCTGATCTGGCCTACATTGTGCCGTGAACTAAAGATGGGAATATTAATTGTTGGAACATTAATTGTGTTAATGATTAAAATGAGCCTAGACTGGACGGGTGTCATTGTTGATTAGCAAAGTTTAAACTAACTGGGGCTGTTCTCTCTGTGTTTTGTCCCTCAGATGACATGTTTGATCTGCCTTTTCCTGATGAACTGGAGAACGACATTGGCCAGGACATGATGCTGATCAACCTCCACCCTTCCCCCAACACCTCTCCTGTGCCCTCACCTGGCTCTCCGTCTGGGATGGGAATGGGTTCACATTTCCAGCACAACAGGGTGAGTCAGGATCAATGGAAAGAATCATCCTACAGTTGTAGCTAATGACACCCTGTAACAAAGGAACAAAATACCATGTCTTTCCAACCTACATGGGGGAAAAAAAAGCATGCTACTATATTTTCACGTTACCATTTAATCATTGCTTTCAAAGAAGGGGCTGTTCTGCTGCTTTCTAACAAAAGAAAGAAGTAAGATGCAGGGTTTGATCAGACCCAACTCATGATATAAATAACCTATAGACATTTTGCATTTTCACTGCTAATTATACGGGTAGTTTTGTGGAGTTAAAATGCATTCCTCGTCAGGTTCAGATCTGATTTTGTACTTTGAAGCACAGCAGTCTTTAGTGACACTCAGCACTTCATATTATCAAATGAGAATCAGAATTAGTGATTTGCCAAGTAAAATAGATGCAGAGGAATTTGTCTTGGAGGCAAAGGAGAAGAGATGTGTTGACAACCTATATTACACCTCATTTCATACAGTACTGACAAACTGTGGGAACAGCCCCGGCAAAGTATATTGACCTGCAGGGAGAAAATGCAAATGTTCTTTTGCAAAACCCTTTTGGCAGGAAAATTATCACCTTATAAAAGCAGAGGTTCGTTTGTATTTTTCCTCTTCAGATGGGGTTGCTGTAGCTTTACATATAACTGTAAAACTATACTGTACTATACAATACTATATATCCCTTGATCTACAAGGATTGCATACTATAACCTGCTTTCATGAGTTACCATGAACATCACGTGTTCACATTTTCTTGTTTAAAGAAGACAACCCACCCGTGCCAGTGCAGATGTTCAGAATTGAAAGATGCTTGAATGAATAAATGATATAGGCCATGACCCAGGATTTGTGAGGATCACAACAAAGGTTGTAATTGATTGCTGGCCCTGTCCTGTGTGTATATAGAGCCAGGGAGAGCGCTTGCTGTCCAGGGACAATCCACCAGAGGAGCTAAAGCAGCAGCCACTGGCTCTGGGTTACTACGTCTCCACTGCACAAGCAAATGGACTTCCTCACTGGTTCTGGGCCTCCTGCCCGCAGGCTGAGAGCCAGTGTCCACTATTCCTCAAGGTACTCAAAACACTGTGTGTGTGTGTGTGTGTGTGTGTGTGTGTGTGTGTGTGTGTGTGTGTGTGTGTGTGTGTGTGTGTATATGCGTGGGCGACTGACTTTAAAGCTCATTTGATCTGAGAGCAAAACATACAGAGATGATCAAGAATTGATGCAGAAATGCTCTAATTATGTGATTAAATACTAAAGAAGGTCACAGCTGCTCACTATAGCCAAGCATGCTTCAACATTTGACTGTGCCCTTTGCTCCTTCACTTCAGGCGTCTCTCCACCACCACATCTCCATAGCCCAGTCAGATGAGCTGGTGTCAGACAAGACTAAGAGGACCCCTCACCCCTTAGACTCAAAAACCACCTCTGATGTGCTCAGGTAAATACTTAACACATGTTGGCCTTTCAGATTTGTTTATCATCTGCTGTACAGTGCTGGTTAAAGTGGCTACTAAATTATGTGTACAAAACAGAGTATATGTAAGAAGTGTAATAAGTCTGTGGATTATTCAAATAGCTGATATATATATATATATATATATATATATATATATATATGTGTGTGTGTGTGTGTGTTAAATTTAAAATATATGTTCCAAATAAGTAGATGTTTAATTTCCATAAAGTCGAATTATAATTCAAAATACAATTATTTAGCATTTGACTTGTCTTTGAAATGTTTACTACAGACAGGTGTACAGTATGGTATGTGGTAAAGTTATTTGTGTCTAAGTAAAAGTTACAGCTTAAGAATAAAAAATAAATATGTAATTAAAAATTGATTAATTGAGATATTATTAAAATAAAAAAGAACATATTTTCAAGTGCCATTAATTGCTTCAAAATTGTGATTAATTGCCAACAAATACTTTTGCTAAATCAATACTGTGAATGAAAAAAACATGATGGAAAGAGTGGATTAACTGATCAATCTTAAAAATATAAATCATTAGAATATTTTCAAAAAGTCAGAATTTTGTGCAAATTGTCCTTGATAAAACTGTGTATTTTTCAAACACAGGTTTGTATTGGAGCAGTATAACGCCCTCTCCTGGTTGACGTGTACCCCTGCTACCCAAGATCGCCAATCCTGCCTGCCTGTCCACCTGGCTGTACTTATCCAAATGTACAATGCCATCCTGAACATGCTTTAGCTGTGTGAGACTTCAAGGACAACTCTTGGGGACTGATGGTTACCTTCATTTCCTGTGCCTACGCTTCCTCCTTCTGGGCACCAGAGAGCACCAGAACACTTCCGTCGTTTGGGTACACGTGGATTTAATGGTCAAAGAAAGGACAGGGCAAGTCAGACTCTCCCGGGCCTGGAATGTAATGAATAAGAAGAGTGAAATGCTCTGAACAATAACTTTAGTTAACTGCAACACCGTGAAAATCCAGTTTGTACCTTCAAAACTGGCTGTGTGCCAGTTATGGTGCTTTTCGAGGGAGAAACAGATGGATCTATCCAACTATGCCCATTTTACTGACATATCACAATGTTAACTCTCTCCTGATTGAAGCAGCATTATGTCCCACATGGGCCACAACTCTCAGTGGCATTTGAAGCATCAGTGGATGACAGAAGCTCTCTCTGAGTCTCGTTACATCCTCACCTGTGAAAAGGGACATCTGTGCAGGGCCACATAACTCCATACTGTACAACCAGCAAAATGGCATGACAACACAAACCCATGGCTTTGTTACATCAATTAATGTGTTAATGGTGTTTTTAAATTTTTGTACAGAACTGCACTGTTGAGCTTCTTGGGACTTTGAGTCGGTTGATGAAACTTTTACCTTTACTCTGAGAGGGGCAAACGTCCTCATTTACTCCAAAGAGGGAGCATTTGATAATGGCACTTTTTCCTCACCTTCCAAAGTGTTGTAGATAAGAACACAATGGAAAATATTTGACCAATTAAGACAGAAGTGTTGTTTATAATGTAAGACATACATTTGCAAAGAATTGAGACTTATTTTTAATATTTAAAACATAAAAATGAGAAACTTAAACAAGGCCTTTTTTCCCAATTAACTGTTAATTGTCTTGGGAGCTGAAATAAAATTTGTCATTTTAATGCAATTGTAAAGATGCCATATTTATACAAATTATATCATGTCATAGAATTTGATATATATGTATATACATAAATATATATTACCTCTTCCAAGCAGGCACTTAATGATAAGGGTGATGGATTCAACCACCTCTTTAGAAATGGACACAGTATGAACATTTATCACAGAAAATGCATTTGAGTTGGTTTTTTTTTTCTTTTTTTTTTCTTTTTTTTTTTTACAGATACTGAACATTTTAGCTTTTTATTTAAATGTTTAAATTTAAACTAATTGATGCAGGAGATACAGTATACTGTATATTTATAAGGTGTTCCTCTTCTGCTAAAAAACTTGAAATAGGCAATAGAAGACCATGGTATTTGAACATTGCAAGGTAATTAAATATTTAAGAATGATGCTTTATTTCACTGGCTCTCCTAAATGATGTCAAGCGAACCATTAGAAAGGCCTGTCTCTTCAGCTTCACTCAGTCTGCTCTTTGTTAGATTCCTAGCATGTTTGTATATACACTTTTCAGCTGTGTTTTTTGGAATTTTCTTAAAGCTGTACATTTCATGCTGGTTGGTTTACTTTCAAGTGATTCATATCAAAGTATTTTTTTGCTGTGAGCTTTTTTGATATATAGTATACGGCGCAAAACTCATTTAATTACAGCCAAGAGGTGAAATTGCCAAGTAAGTGTACACAAATGTACAGACAAGGGCAAGTTTGCAAAAAAAAATTGTTACATCTCTCATCACTTTGAATATCAAACAGATCCACTTTAGTGGCAGAGATCTGTTACTTTTACACTCTTTTTTAGTAAATTATTAAAACTCTTGAAAATGATGTTGTGTTTGGTTTCCTCTTTTAATCCAGAAGACTGTAAATCTCAGACTGTACATATGTTCCATTTTCCGATTTTGTCGCAGTTTATTTGGGTAATACAATACTGATCAGAAGTGGTGGGCCATAACAGAATATTATTTACTCAAGTAATGCAATTAAATACAATTGTGAGGTACTTGTAGCTGATGCTACGTCATACTTCTACATTTCAGAGGCAAATATACTTTTTACTGCACTACATTTACTAGTTAAGTTTCATCATAAAGATTTCATCCTAAACGTATGATGATCTTATATTAAACTTGCTCCATTGCTGACAGTATTTCTGTTCTCTTTACCATTTTGAATGTAAGGCCTAATTTAACAGTGCCATATGTGTGAAGAGGAAGATAAGACTTTTCCTACACTGTATTGTCAAAATGTGTGAATGACATCTGCCTTCCATATTACAACATCCACAGAGATTACATCTAAGGCTTGGCAATAACAATAAACATTACACCCGCCCTTGTGAATAAGACTGAACGTGACGATATCCTGATCTTTGACAAAGAGCAACATTTACTGACTAATTCATTGAGGCAAATGAAAATAATCATTGACACTCTCAAGTGAATATCACCCAGCTGTTGTCCTTCCTGTTCAACAAGATAGTCCAGCTTTGTAACATGTGTTCAGCTCACCAGTGCAAACATAAAAGCTGATTGAATTCCTTTAGAAGGAATAGAAACAAAAGGGAATAAAATAAATAAACTTTTACCACATTAAAAAGTTGGCATGGGTCAGTGTTAAAACATACTAGCTGGCTAATGAAATGGCACTGAGCCATGACAGGACTGCCACATCAGTCGAGTATTGTAGCCTACTCACATCCGGAATGAAGGCTGCTGGAAGCTGATGTTTGATGCCTGATTTCATAAACTCAAGGGATGCTGTCTGTCTTAGCTGTTGCGTGATTTGGAAGATAGTCTAAAATACGGGACAGTATCAAATGTGGGTGTGTCAACTGCCTGCTAAGGTGCGCGTGTGTGTGTGTTACTCTATTGGAGATTCTGAAGGACTAGATATGAAAAATGGTAAATGCATTTGACAAACAAATGTTAAGGACTTTTAAATTAGCTCATTGTGTGTATGAAATGATTCTAGAGGATGTTCTCTTGAGGGGAGGTAAGAGCTGTGTTCCTTTTGTGTGATTTGGTGGGGGAGAATATGTGACGACGAGAGAGAAAAAGAGGTAGTGAAGGAGGTTCTGTTTGACCATCAGGGTCACATAAAATCCTTGAGCAAAAAACAGCAATTCTATGGACAACAAAACTAGACAAAAAGTCAGTCTTTGAGGGACTGGGCAGCTCGAGGACACCGTGAATGAAAATGAGCGGGTAGCTGAAGAGTAAAAGCCACTGAAGAGTCACTTGTCGTGGTGGGGCTGTCTAATGGCCATCACAACTGGAGGAAGTGGACTCTTAATTGACTGCAATGTCTTTTCCACAGATGGCCTATTAGACCATGGCCATTCACCTGTTATCTTGCTTGCCAAGTGCATTGCTGCAGCCAAATGGCCTACAGACTGGACAAAGGAGGCCAGGGCTGGCTTGACATAGCATTAGCGCAAACACAATTAGAAGTCAGCGACATTTTATGTCGCTTTTCTGCCTACAGTGCACCACATGAGATGACAAGGTTGTTCAAAAAAGCCCTCTGTGGAGAGCAAATGGGTTGACTTAACACTAGAAATCCGGTTTATTGTTGTCATGGAACAGAATGTAAAAAAAAAACTGACTGAATGCTGTCATGTAATGGAAATGTATTTTAGAGTCATACTTAAAATTAACACATTCTACACCATATTCACAACATGATGTCCACAACTTTAATTTACAGTAACTGAATCACTATTATAATAGTAGATCTATTTTAACAGCAGTAATGAAAAACACACAAAAAAACACAGCCATAATTCAAAGCAACATAATGGAAGTAAGTGTCCAAACAAGGCCAAATTGCTACCTGACTCACAACTTGCACTATTGAGAAATGCTGCTAAATTATTTCATGCAAAGAGAGGTACAACAGTTGCACTTCAATCATCATCAAAGTAAGTATACTTTAGTTACTTCACAAAACACAGTTAACATGTTTGGTTTGATCAAAATGTTGCAGTGAATGTGGGTCTGTTACAGAACTGACCATCTTGTCTCCTGGGCCTCAGAAAACAGAACAGAGGGCTGCAGCATTTCTGTCACTCCAGATGACCCGTGAGAGTGCTCCACTTGCAGGCGTGACTTTGGCAGGGCAGAGCCATGTGCTGTTTTGACATGCCCTCTCCCTCTGAAGTGGAGGCAGCTGGGGGCTGTAGCTTCACACTACTTTGTAGATGGTGGTAATGCTGCTGCCTTTTCTGAACTTTGAAGAGAGAGGGAAAGGGACATACAAAAACACACACACACTAAGTCATGTCTCCCTGACTTCCGAGGACATTAAATCGACATACACTCATTTGCTGGATACTTACTTTAACCCAAACCCTAACCCGAACCCTTAACCATAGCTACTACTTGCCTAACCCCTAACCCTATCCTAACCCTGCCCTAACCCTATCCTTAACCTAAAGCTAGCCTTAAACCTACCTTAAAACATGTCAACACCATAAAATTTAAAGGAGCTATTTGTAAGTTTTGCTATTGCTACATAGCATACATTAGCATTGACAACTCTTTACCTACCAGTCTTGCCAAGAGCTTTAGCCATAGTCGGTTTACATGACAAGAGACAATACGCCCTCTGACAATGCCACTTGTTCAAGGCACCCCATACTACAGGGACTAACTGGTTAGCATGTGAACTTCAGTACAAGAAAAGAAGTGATAGAGATAGACCGCTGGAGACAGCTCTTGGCAAGTAAAGGGATGAAGTTTGATGCTGAACTTGAAATGTTTCTTCCAGACAGGTAAGTAAACAGCTGTTAATGCTAACGCTGGCTATGTAGCAATAGTGAAACTTACAAAATGCTCCTTTAAGTATTCACATAAGGGGGACTTCCTTTTTGTCCCCATAAAGAAGACAAGTCCCCATAATGTGACTGCGTAAACAGACTTAAGTCCCCACAAAATGAGCAATACCTGGACCACACCCACACACACACTCTCTTTAGACACCTTACTTTCTGGTGTCTGTCATGGCAGCCCTCTGCCAGTGGTTATGTGGGTGTGGTCAACGTGGTAGGTCCTGTCCCTGCCTGACCCCTAATATGCCAGCCAGATCAACAAGGGTTCAAGGCTGTGCGAGAGCTGCAGGTGGTACAGGTCAGGGTCATCACCATCCAATGTGAGAGCCATGTAAGAGACTTGGATGTGAACTCTAAATTGACTAGTTTACAAATGGCTTTGTCAGCAGGTTTGGCAAAAATGAATAGGTCATTAGAGCATGTGGAGCAATAGACTCTTTCAGCCAGAGTTTCACCCAGTCTGACAGCCATGTGGAAACTGGTTTGAGAGGTGTGGACTTGTGTGACGTGACTTGGATTCAAGTCAGAGGTTTAACTGCACCACATCATTATTTTGTGTGAAATAGACACATTCATATGTTTGCACTCCTTGCAAATAGGGTGCACATACATTTATTAAATAAAGCATTCACGATTTATGTTAATTGATTTGACAGATTGGACATGGAATGGAAGTGAGGTGGTTCTGACATTATAAATTGACCATGCAATCCCATGCAATTACAATTTATCTTCTACCCTGTTCATCCACAGTAGATCATTATTTTATTATACTCTTTTATTATTGTTCCTTATTGTCTCAAAAAACATTCTTTCCCACTTACACCTGTAAATCCATATAGGGTGAAACATTTTATTAGGTGAGGTTTTGAGATCTCCTTTTTCTATAGACTGCGTTGAGCCACCAACTCAATGTAATGAAAGCTCCATCCATTAGCCATACCACTTATCCTGGAGGGTCGCAGGGGGGACGAGAGCCAATCCCTGCTAACAAGAGGTAGCGTAGGGCCTGGACAGGTTGCGAGTCTATCACAGGGCTGACACATAGTGACAAACAACCAATTCACGCTCACATTCTCACCGAGTGGCAAATTAGAGTGGCCAGTTAAACTAACCTGCAAGTTTTGGACCCACGCAGGTACGGGGAAAACATGCAGGTGCCATACAGAGAAGCCCCACCCAGCCGGCAGGTTCAAACCCATTCAACAGGCAACAGTGCCTCCCATTGCACCACCATGCCACCCATAATGAAAGAAAATCTTTTTTTTTTTTTTTTTAAGGCACAGAACAATGGAAACTTACATTTTTAAAACTCAACAGGTTTTTTTCAAGAAGCAACGTCCCGGTTACGGAGGATTATCCCGCCCTTAAAAAAAACTCACTCAT